CAGCATACAAATGAAAGTATATCTAAATAAATGAATAAATAATGGGGGGGGGAGAATATAGTTTTTCTTCAGTTATTTTCATCCAATGTGGCTCCCCATAATTTTCCAAATGCAGATAGTTATGAGCATCCAAAGGAAGCCAGGACAAGAACTGACTCTTCCTACCTCCATAACTTGCCCTACGGTTTTAGCTATCCATGTGCTTTATGATGGCTCATACAGACAGGAGCTGATTTGACGGGGTACAAAGCCAGTGATGGTTGCTCCACTGTGCTGCTTGTGTAGCAATGGCTGGCTATCATTTGCAGTGAGCACGGCAGCACCGGCAAAGGGTTTGGCAGATTGGACTATTGCCCACAAAAAAGCCACTGTGTAAAAAGCAGCCCCGGGTTCCATGACGTGACCAACACCACTGTGGCTGAGTCCCTTCAGTCAGTTGTCGTGACAAATGAATGCACTCAGTCTTTCCTGCCTGTCTAAAACAGAACAAAGACAAGGTTCATCACAGAAAACAGCATACAAATACAATCATGGTTATGATACGTTAATCAGAAGAAAACAATACTGGAGCTATTGGCTTGTGGAAGCCAACCTCTCCTAACTCCTGACTGCATGCCATGTGAGATTAATTGGTGTATCAAGCACTTTCAAGCTCCCAGGTCAAATCTCTCCGCAGTCAGAAGCTTTCAGTCACGTGTGGATAAACTTCAGACCGGCAGAACTTAATTTGCTTTTGATTAGAACTTCAAAATTCAGCAACAGCCAGATGCAGACATTTAGAGTGAAAGAACTGAGCCCAGAAATTTGTTACAAAGAACAGAGCTCACATTAATCCCACAGAAAAATCTATACCTAGTTCCCCTAAACCTCATTTCAGCTGTATAATTTAGGCAGTTTAGTACTGCTGCTACTGTTAAACAACTAAGAGTCAGAAATCCTTGCCTATCTAGTGCAAATCACCCAAAGAAAGATTCAAGTCTACCATCACTCTGCAAATCTTCCTCCCTTTGTCCTTCCCTTCTCATCTGCAATATGGAGGTGATAATAACACTGACCTAGCTCACCAAATTGATGCTGGAATTACTGAGATAATGTCCATGAAGTACTTTGAACACTCTGCTATTTATTTATTTAGGAAGCTTCTATGTCGCCCCATTCACCGAAGCCACAGGGCGGCTCACAACAATAAATAACAACAATATAAAAACATTTACATGTTAAGGACTCCCATTCTTTACACTTTACAACTCAATTATCTATTTCAAATACATCACCTTGCGCTGACCTCATACAGCTGCAATCCTCAGTATTTCCAACCAGTAAAGAAACACCTTTAGAAATGGACAGTTAGATACCCTGGAGAGAAGCCACTAGATGCTGGACAGTAGTGAAAGTATGACAGCCAGATTATCTTTGTTTCTTAAGAGCTGATATATGTTGAACATGACAGCTCATTCTGCATTAGCTATCTTTAACCCTGTGTTCACACAACATAATAACCATCACTGACATTTGAGAATGGACCATGGGTGGTTGTGTTATATGGACTATACACAGGAAATCTATATTTCTGGCAAAACCACCCTAAATCCCTGGGTTTTTTTTAACCCCTACAACTGATATCTGTCAAAACAAAGAGTCAGCAAAAGGAGGAGTTCCATTTGCCCACCTTCCCAAATAACACGTGTACCTTGAGAAAGAGTGGAAAACTGGGAACACTGAGATCTCGCTATGAAAAGTGGGGGAAAGGCTCCTAATCCTTTTGTGAGGAAATAAATATTACTTGTGGCTTTTCTTTCATTTTACAGCTCAACTTTTGACAGTTGTCAGGGGAAAGCAAAGTTTTAAAAAAGCCTTTGCATGGCTTCTCAGGGTAAACATTCAGGGTTGGTACCTGCTGTCATCAGTCACAAGGTATCCCTGCCCCCAGAACATCATCCAGATGAGGCTTTCCAATTTTAGAACCTCAATCATGTATTAAGTGTGCATTCACTTACATTCAAAGGGGAAAAAGAATTTTAAAAGAATTAAGAAAAGATCTACCCACATTTGAGGCGTTTTTTTTTAAAGGGGGCAATAAACCAATGACAGCTTCTCCAGTGTGCCACTTGAGCACTTTGGACGGGTTGTCACTAGCTATCAATTTGGAGATCAACATTCATTATCACATTGTCTTAATACTGTTTTATGGATTTTAATATGATGTAAGCCTCCCAGAGAATCTGTGGCTAGTGTGATGGCCTATAAATTGAATGAATGAACGATTCATTCCCTTTCCTGAAAGGGAAAAAAGTTCCAGCAAGCAAAAAAGAAATAAATAAAAATAAAAAGTTTGACAATCATAGCCGGGAGAGGTGACATGGCAACATCAGTTGCCAAGTACCCTGGGTACCCTAGGCTGAAGAACCGAGGAGGAAGGAGGTGGAAAACAACCCACAGTTAACCCAATCATCCGTTCAGGGGACTATGGGTTGCTCAATAGCCAATCCACCATAGCTTATTGCTGGGTGGGTTAGCTTAAGTCAGTTAAGTGCTACCTCTCATGCTGCATGAACACCTAGTCAGAGAATTTAAACTGTTGTTTGTCACCACTGCTGAGATAAATCTCCTTTTTTAATCCTGCTTTTTCTTACTCATTAAGCATCAGTGCCAACAAGTCACACAAGAACCTTCCTCTAGCTGTATATTTTATAAAATAACCTGGCCTCAATTTATATCTTTCTCTCTCAAGATCATGTTCTCATTTGAAGGGAAGACTTCTACTTTTGCTACAGATAGTGCACTTTCCTAATCCAGTGGAACTCTACAGCAGAAATGGGCACAGCCATTGGTAAAGGATCATGAGAGCTGATGGTCAATGGAAGCTCACAAGTTGCCCACACCTGCTCTACAGTTTGGGAGAAACTTCACACACAAGGCCTTAGTTCCTGAGTTGCCCTTCTGCATGTATCAGATACAAGGTTCTTTCCATTCATAGAAAATGCCTTGATCCAGTAGAAGCTCCTATTGAAGAAAGTGGAGAGAGGAGATTCTACTGATACTTCCTTCTCCAGAAGGCTATAGAGGGAAAGGGTAAAATCAGTGATGATCACCTCCTCCATTCACTTGTAAGAACATTCCATGAGCAAAGCACTTCTCATGGCAAATTAGGATCCAAGCCAAGGTATATAACACTCCTTATAATTGAATATTCTAATTTCCTATAATAACTCTATTTGCTTCTCCCAGTATGCAAAGTTATTAGAAAGTCCTCCTGCATATTCAAGCTTCTATCAGCCATGAACAGTGCAAAAGAGAAATGAAGATGCCTGCATTTAAAACTACTGAGTCCTCAACAGTTGGAGCTATACACATCCCTAAATAAGTAAATATTAACAGTGAAGTTAAAGTACTTATATAGAAGTAACTCTTCTGACTGATGCTCATCTTAAGATTCACCAACAAGTGTGAAATGAAGAGTACGTTCATATTTCAATTTTATAGCATTCCTGCAAATTAGAAAATCAGCAATGAAAGCAAACCCTGTAATTAACATGCCATATTTTCTTCATTACAGACATAAGCTCAAAACACTGGGCTTAAAAATTCCAGAATGAGAAGTTGTTGAGGTGATGAGGCAAGAGATCTTCCAAGACCCAGAGCAAACACTTTGGTCGCTTCCAGTTTGCTGTGACCAGGACACCTCCCCCAACTCAAAACTGAGACTTCTTGGCTCACAGTTCAAAACTCTGTCAGCACACTACGGCAGCTTTTTTATTTATTTGTGTGTGTGTGTGTGTGTGTGTGTGTGTGTGTGTCCCTGCCAGGGCTCATGTTAACAAGATTTGCAGATCAGAAGGCAACAGGGGTGCTTAAAAGGAAAAAAGGAGGAGGAAGCTGGTTCACACATCAACTTTAACATTTGCCAGCTGCCGCCATCAGCTGCCCACGAACAGTACAAAATTATCAGACCAAATGCTGTTCTCATTCAATCAATAAGTTTCTGTGCTAGGAAAATGTAGCACAATTAGCCAACAATAACTCTGATGAGCTGCACACAGGAAGTTTTATCAACATGCCACACCCATTCTTGAAGGCATTAACATACTAACTCATGTCCAGCACATGAACAAAAGAAATGCTAGTGAAAGGCCTCAGCTCAGCGGAAGAGCACCTCCTTGGCATGCAGGATCTCCCAGGTTCAGTCTACAGCATTCCCAGTTGGAGGAGAATCAAGGATCTGCCTGGGCCCTTGGAGCACCACTCTCCAAGCAACACCCCCCCCCCGCCCCCGGTGAGACAGTTTGGTGATCTCACATGGTAGCTGCGCAGGTTTAAGTTCAAAACACATGCTGCACTGTATAAGGCTGTTCAGTGTGTATTTTGTTATTTATATTAATGCTAATAATGCAGCTCATCAAACTAACACCACTGTTTTCTATCCCAATGCAGCTTTTCTAATTTAAAACTGCTATCATAAACAATTGGTACTAAACAAAAAAACTATCCATGGAGTATTTACTGTATTCTACTTTTTACAACAGTACAAACATACTAAAATAAAAACCAACCAGCCATCTAAATGTATCTGTAAAATACATGTAGATTTTCTCCCATGCAGAAGGAAGAAAAAAGATAAATTTAAGTATTAAAGGAAGTCCAACAGAAAGAGAAATGGCTTGTTAGAACACCCACATAAAGATACAGCAGCTCCCGACAAGAAAAATGTTCCCCACGAAAATAAACCATAAAGATTTTTTTCATAAAAAATTAAAAAGTGTTCTATATGCAGATTACATGACATTTAATTTTAGGAGAGTCTGTTGAAAGGGGCCTCTTCTGTGCACGATTCACAGTTCATGAGAAAAGAGATGATTAGACAATATACATCCTTTTGGATAATTCAATACTGTTCTTCCTGGCATACTTATTCTTTCTTGAGAGATATTTCACACAATGCCTGGATTTAATTATCAAAGCAAATTATTTAAACAGCCATTTCTAAACTATTACTTACTTACCTTGGCACTGAAATCCTTGTTTCCCGAACCCCCTGCAAAGGAAAAAGAAGAAGGGGGAAAGAACTTAGAGATACATTTTGATACTAAAATAAGAACAAACTGAAATATTAGATTTATTGCCAGTGCAGAAATGTTGTCTGCTTATTTCCTAGCTAAGACCAAGAATGTTCCTCAAATTGCAAATTTTGGTCTCTTTACATCTGACAATCAGTTCTGAACGACTAATTTGTAAATATTATATCATGCTGGAATGTATTTGTGCCATATGGTATACTTGACAGTGTGACAAATATGCAAGTTGTTGTTGAGCTCGATTAAAACTACCTCAACTACTATTCTCACTTTAGCATGTTTTCTGAAATTCTGCCACAGCACAGCAATGATGAATATACACCTTGCAAAGGCCTTAAATTAAGGGTACATTTCCATGGGAGAAGACTCTTGGGAACTATAAAATACTCTATTGTCAGTGTAAAGGCTCATATTCTTACCACTATAAGGAGTATACAACCCATCTACGGGCTGTATGCAACTCAAGAACAATCGTCTTTACTAATTTTAATGTCTGAAGTATTCTATTGTCTACAAGAAGGGTATCAGGTGGTGATACTTCTAATCACACTGCAAATGGAAGGAAAACAGTTTCTACAAGTGGGTCAGAACATCACCAGAATTTTTTTTAAGATTTAGTAAGAAAATTAAGGTCTGTTTACAGCACTTTCTTACAGCCAGCCAAATTTTGAGGATACAAAGTGATTTTTTGTACCTGTTAATGAATGACATGTTGTTGCCGTAGCAAGTTCTTACTATGTCAAATTCTTCCTAAACCGATTATATTCAGAGGTAAATGAACAGTGTCAAACACATACATAATTAGTGAATGTCATGGAGATCACTGGTGGGTGGGGAATCAACTTTATTTATGAAACAAATGTTTCACAATTCTTATTTTGATAATACGTATTCCCATTTAAAACGTACAATGCATTAAACTACTTATATTCAAATGCATGTTCTGTCCATCACCCACCCACCCACCCACTCAGGGGGTGCTGTAAATTCTTAAGTGTTTGTGTTAAGATACTACATAGTTTATTCAAAGTCCCTTTACAAGGAACCACCTTACAATGTCCAGAGAACAGCACACACAATTGCTTTTCCACAGTAAAGTGGAGATTTCATATACACAAAAATGTCTGTTTATTCTATTTCTATGTACATACTGTGGGAATAAAATTAGATACATTCAAGTTCAAATAAAGCTTCATAACATTGTTTATTAACATTACATCCTGATATTCACAGCAGCTATTTTTAACCACAATAATGTTTAAATATGCTACTTCAATAAAAACACTACAGAAGCACATGTCTCAAGATAGCGTAATATGAAGGTCAAGTGTAATTACAAAATAATGCTACATAAATGATTCTGAACACAACTGTTAGTATGTAATCTATCAGTTCATTCATTCTAGTATATTTTAAAAACTTTGCGTATGTGACTAAACTAATACCCTGCAATGCTTTAAGGGTGCAAACAACTAATTACAAATATGTTGAGATTTGAGTAGTAATTTGATATATTTGATAATGTCTCTGATTGCTTACTTCTGATACAGTAAAAGGGAAACAAGGATTTAAAATACATCAGTGAAGCAGAAATGAAATATCTAGGATGAACTGTGATTTCTTCAGATTCCACAAAAAGGAAAGGAAAAGGGAAAGGAGAGAAAGCAGAGAATCTGGGGAATTTCAGAGGGCCAGATTAGGACCTCAGGAAAGCTGGACTTGGCTGCCAGACCGAAGATTACTCACCCCTGCAGCAGAGAGCAAACTGGTAGGGCAATGTTTACAGGAGCAAGAGCTACTGTGCTATATAAAAAATAATGAGCCTAAGGCAAGAATCTTCAACCCACATCCATTGAAATCAGTGAGACTCAATGAGACTCATACTGCATCTTTAAATAGGAAACAAACCCAACTAAAGCTAGGCACTTCTTATACTTGGATTGGTATATCAAGATATGAAATAGATGCAAACCTCTAACTATGACAGGATCACACATATATAATTTGCGATTTCCCTTTAGTACAACTACATGAGTTAATGAAACCCATTCCAGCTTCTGCCTCAGGAAGATGCTGGTTTATCCATGTGTGTCATTTCAACACAGTGCAATATATGAATATGTTCTCCTTTAGCAGCAAATTCTTAATTTCAACATGTCCTCCTAGAAACAGTCCATAAAAAGTCCCACTTTTTTAACTGGACCTGCTTTACCTAAACATGGACAGAACTACTGCCTAAATTTTGGTAATACTCCCTTCTAATACATACTCAGGCTCCAGGGCAAACAAGTTATGGCATGCAAATTTTTGAATGTAAATTGTTTGAAGTAAGCAAGGCATGAACACCAACTACTATTTTTTTCCGGCCAGATGAACACATGGGGAAGAAGTGTGAACAGCCACTTATATGGCTGAATCCAGATTATGGTGTTGAACTTAGTATCCTTCAAAATCAATAGATTTAAATGATTTCAACTTAGTCTAGATCCAACACAACAAGAGGGCCTTTGGGCTGCAGGGTGGTATAAAATGAGACAGGCACACACATACACAATTCACAGGCAAGTATACCTGGATATGTGTGCACAGACTAACTTGAACTGTAAGAGCTCAGTGTTGTATCTAAGAAGGACCATTGCTAAATCCCTTCTGTCTCCTCATGGTTGCAGGAAGGCTTTTTTTCCTGAGCTTGTCCATCTAAAATGTACCATCTGCAAAGAATTTAAGCCCCCCTGCCCTCCAGAGGCAGCAATAGGAAACACAAGAAATCCTGAAGGCAATTGCAGAACCATTGGGACACTTCAAGGGTACAGATGTGTCTATTTTACATCTGCAATCACACCAGATTCAATAAAGGAAGGCCTGTGTACACCGTAAAACCTATACTGATGGTTGTGGTAGAAACACAATATGTAAAAAGCCAAGTGCAAAGCCCAGTTAACTGTGTGAAGGTGATTACAGAATTAGGCATCAGACACAGCAGGTGTACATAAGCTTGATTTACATTAAACATGTTCACCCAAGTGCATTGAGTAAAATATAGGCAAAGGAATCCAATGTGAATTCAATGGGTAAGAAAATGTATCCTGAGGTTAAAGAGAAGATGGCATGCACTCTCAATATTACAACAGCACTGTTTTGTAAGTGCTATTTTGTCTTGTCATCTTTCAAGAGCAAGGCTGAAAGAGTTCCCCTAATCAAACTGAGATACTAACAAGCTGATCTGTCAGCTAGAGAAGTTAAAAGCCAAACTGTACCTGAGACAGGGGATCCATGTTTACATTTACTGTTGTTTTTATTTAAAAGCAGTTGTGGGGCCCCGATGGGACTGCAGGAGTAGTACTGCTGAGATAGGAGGGTTGCCTTCCCTGATAGATTATCAATACACAAGTTACTCCTATTTGTCCCTCTGGGGGAATGTAGCTGTTGTTTATCTTACTGGGAAAGGAGCGCAGCTTTGGCCAGCTGGAGAAGTGATGGAGAAACAATGTGAGAAAGGGGTTAAACTCCACTAATAGCATTGCTTCTCCAATCTAATTTACTTTCATTTAAGTAAAAATGTTGGATGATCTGGTGCATAGTTTGGTCCTAACTAGAAAAGAGGCAGGAAAAATGTGCTGCAGAAATGGAATAGCAAGGCATGGCCTATCCATGGAATAGATCATCCAAAGTCAACCTAATTACCCACTATGAAAAATTGACCCACTAGAGTTAATTCAATGGCTTAGAGTTGGGTTTCAGTTGCTGAATACTATCCAGGATGATAGCTTAGCAGATAGTGTTGCAATTTATTTCCATATAACAACATATGTGTTACATGCAAGCAAAGTTCACTCCATAAGCTACTGCTCTGATGTGGAAGACATCTCTGTTTTATGAAGGAGCTAGTCTCCGATTTTCACAGAGACTTTGCAGAATGGGGTGGGGGGTGGGAGCCTCCCTTCTATGAGACAGCTGTAGAAAAACTCTCTTGCCAAACAAGGTTAGTGAAAGAGTGGAACAGGATAACTGTACTCAAAAGATGACAAGGTTCCTGCTCCTTTAACAGCTGTAGAGATGAGGGAACTTTGGCAAGTGCATGTTTTCTTACCTGCCAAACCTGAATTGCAATTCCCAACTTCCTTGGTCAGTTGGGGACATTAAGAGTTGCAACACGTGGGAGCCATGTGGCTAATGGAGCAGGCTAGCAGTATAACAAATGAACAAAACTCTCAACACATCTCGAAGGCACCCTTCTGGGGAAGAAGGCTCCTGCACTGCCCTTGCGGCACCTTGTCCTATTTTACTCCTGGACTTCTACAGGTGGAAGTGGCTGCGTGTCTGTACATGTGCAGCAGGGTGGATGGGTCTGTCTAGAATGAAGTAAATGTAAGGGTTGGTGAGTTTCGTATTTGGAAGCTGTCTTGGGGTCATTTATTCAACCAAGCCAGTAGGACTGGCAAACTGGATGCTGCATACAGGAACTTCTTCACCGAGGTAGTGCTGGTGTGACTCTCTTGTGGCGAGACAACAGTGCGATGGTCAAGCAGAAAGATGTTAAAGGGGTTTTCTAATCGAGAACCATGTACAAGGAACACTGGTCTTATTAAAATGGTGCAATGATGATGCCCTCAGAAAGTCTCTTGTTTAGAGGAAACCAAATGATCTATCAGACCATTTTCTCCAGTACAGAAGGCCTGTATAAAGTGATTAGTTTTTTGATGCAATCATTAGAGTGGCTGAATGGAAGGAGAGGAGTTGCCCTGGGAGAAGCATCTATGAAGATGGTGCAGCAGAATTACTACCCGAGTGTCTCTCCAGGGTGTCAAAATATCGCTTATAGGGGAAGTTGGGAGAGTGCCTGAAAGGTCTCTCATTAGGAGACCTCTGGCACGGGTGTGCGCAGAGATGAAAATGCACCGCCAGGGCATGAGCAATTAACGCAGGGAGGTCTCTCTCTGTCTTTGGAGGAGGAAAGGAAAGTAGAGAGCGCTCTTTCCAGAGCGCGGGGAGGGAAAGGAGGAAGAGCCTCCCTCCGTGGCGGCGCCTCTGTCCCTATCAAGGCAACGGCGCTGCCGAGAGAAATCTGATTCTCCGAGGGTGGCGTCTCCGTCCCTGCCTCTCTCTCTGCACCGAGAGCGAGCGGGTCCCTCACCTGGGCAGCGGCCGGAGGTGGGCTGACGGGCGGCCGTCAGCGAGGAGCTCTCGGTCGGCGACGCGGAGCGCCCAGCCGTCTCTCGGCCAGTGGAGCGGCAAAAGGGTCTGTCCCGTAGCGAGGCGGGGGGAAGGGGGAGAGGTGCCGGGGAGACCGCGCGCGACCACCGCAGCGCTCGCTTTGGGGAGGGGGCTGCTCGGGAAGGCGAGGGGTGGGGGGACCGGAGGGGGTGGGGCCGCCCGCCCGCCCGCTCGCCCGCTCGCCCGCCTTACCAGATGAAGTCGGTGCAGTGGCTGCAGAAGGTGGGCTGCTTGAAGAAGCGCGCGATGAATTTGTGGTCCCTCACCTCGTGCACGTTCTTCTGCCGGAGGGCCCCTTTGCGGGCGAAGCGGCGCGCCGCGTCGGGACCCGAGCCGGGCTCCGGGGCTGGGAAGACGTCGGCCATGGCGCGCGCGCCCCCCGCCTCGCCCTCCTTCCTGCCTCGCCCGCCCGCCTTCGCCTAACCCAGGAAGCGGCTCCGTCCCTCGCCCTCGCTCGCCGCCTCCCCGCCGCCGTTCTGCCCCGTCCGGCGACCGCCGACGCTCCGGCAGCTGCGGCGGCTGGGCGCTGCCTCCTGTCCGCCCGCCCGCCCGGGCTGCTCCTGACGTCTGAGCCGCGCGGGGGGGGGCGGAGAGGATCCCCGCCCCGGGCCGGGCCGGGCCAGCCCCGACGGCTCCGCCCGCCGGCGCGCTCACGGGGCCCCCTGCGCGGGGAGGCGGGGCGCGCGCGCCGGGGAAGCCCGTCTCTAGGGCAACAGGCAGGCAGGCAGGCAGGCGGGGGGCGGCCGGGCGTGCACGCCCCCAGCCCGCGGGGAAGGGAGGCGCGGCCAAGGGTGGCCTTCGCGCAGCCTGCGGCGCCTTTCACCTGTGGCGCGCCCGCGAAGCCGGCAGCGCGGATTCAGAGGGAAGTCGGAGTTTCTCAGGCAGCCTCGGATGGCGACGCGCTGTGATCGAGCCGCTCAGTCTTGTGCTTTTCACCTGCGGCTCTTCGGCGGGTTTACTCAGCGCTCCCGCCACGGCGCTGGGTCTCGCAAGGAGCCACCTCTGTCCTGCCTCCAGCGCTTTGCAGCTGCCGATGCCGCACCCCTTCCCCATCCACCCTCAGCGCGCTGATGCCTGCGGGGCGAGCGGCTTCCAGAGGGTCTGGCACCGAGTCCTGGGCTGGCGGTCCCCAGAGAGAGGCTCGATGCGGCGCGCCTGCAGTAGCGGGGCGGGATTCCGCTTTTGGCGGGCCGCCGCGAACGACTCGGGGCGCGATAGCCCTGCCGCCGCTGCCACGCCGCGAGCGCCCCGGGAGGAAGCGCCCGGGCCGCCGTTTCGCGCCACGGCCCCGGGTCGCACAGCGGGAGCGCCGCCCGCCCGGCCGCCCCACGGCTGCGCAGCGAGGTGCACGGCTCGGGCGGGGAGCGCCTCGCCTTCCAAGCTCTGCGGCGCAGCGGCCTTTTCCCGCGGACGCGGAGGCTGGCCGGAGCCGCCGCCGCAGCCCGCCGCCCTTCCCCGCCTGGAGCAAACACCCGAGGACCTGTTGCCGCACGTCACGCCCCCTTGTGCCGCCCCCCGCCCGGCAGCCTGGCGTGCGCAGCGCAACTCCTGGCGCAACTTTACGGCTGCTCACGTGGCAGTGACGGAGTAGGACCTGCGCAGGGACTCCGCTCTCGGGTGGGGCGGGGAGAGGGCGCGCCGGCGGGGGCGGCTCGGCGGGCGCGGGTGTCCCTCTCCTCGCAGGCAGCCCCCTGCCCCCTCCCCCGCCCCCGCTGGCCCGAGCGCCTGGGAAAGGCTCCGGCCCGCAGCGAGGGCGCGCCGCGTGTCGGGACGGCTCGGAGCCTGCAGCTTGGCCGCTGCCCGCGGAGGCGCAGGCCGCCTTGCGTGGAGCCAGCGCGGCGGCCCGCGCCCGTGTGGCCTCCGGATCGGGTCGCCTGCGTGGCCGTGCTGAAGGGTGCTCGACCCCTGCGAACCTCTCGCAGTCTAGACGGCTTGGAGTGCAGCTCCCATTATCCCCAGCCACCCTCCGAACTCTGAAATTCGGGTTGAAGGCAGGTCGTGCAGGAGAAGCCCGTGTCGTTATTGCAATGACCCATACAGTGCTTGGTGACCAGAGGGCAGCCTAGCCAACCCGCCGACTGGGGATGATAGGGGTTGTAGTGCAACGCCTCTGGAGGGCACTCGGGCTATAGATTGGTCCTGTGGTTCCTTATTAGTTGGCCTGACTTAGTGAGGTAAGAGAAGTTCTCGCACTGGTCCTTGGTGGACCAATCACGTTTTGGATGGCCGAAGCTTTATCTTAAACGACAGGAACAAAATCATTAGTTTACAGCAGTGGCTCGCATCAGTGGTGGTAAAGATTCCTCGGGATTTTTTTAAAAAAATCAAATGCTCTGGTTATGCCAGTGCTGGTTTATTTTGTTTCATGTAACCTTTTCTTTGCAACTTTGTATTTCTGTGTCACAATTGTTATAGGGCAAACCTCTAGCTGCATTTTGAGCAAGACCAGCAAGCACCTCTCCAAGGGACTTGAGGTGCTTCCAGATTAGGTTTTATTATTTATTTGTTCATTTCATTTTTAAACTGCCCCACAACTGAAGCTCTCTGGCCAGTTATGCAATCATGCAGTCCGTTCATAAAATGTTATAGGCTGAGGGAGGGCTGGTCAACACTATTCCATCTTTCTTTTAAACCATAAAAGTGCTCATTAAGGAGAGAAAAACTGGAATAATGGTATTACTGCTCAGTTGACAGTACCAGGACCCATTCTTTGAGAAGCCTCCTTAAATCATTGCCCATTTTCCCTGCCCAAAGTGAGCATCACCCTGCATAGAAACTGCTTGGCCACGGTCAACCCTTCAAGGTTGCTTCCAGACCGGAGGCACTGTGCAAAGTGACATCTTTTCTTCATTAGCAGATGTGCTGCAATAAGAAAAAAAGATGAACCAAGTGGGGAGAAATGGGAGGGTTAAGAGCAAAAGAGAACAGGCACCGTCTCATTCCAGTGTGAGGGTGCAACAGAAGCCACAGAAGTACCCTGGGAATGGATGCTGTGAGCCGCCCCGAGGCTTCGGCAAGGGGCGGCATAGAAATGTTTTAATAAATAAATAAATAAATGCTGTGGTACCTTGTGCTTTACACAAGAGCCATCTCACATGTTAGAGCAAGAAGAACTTTTCCTCCCACAGCAATTCCCACAGTCTTAGGGCTAGCCTAGACTTGGAATTAAAGGAGGCGGGATAATAATTATCCAGATCACAACAAACATTGAGAAGGGGCTTAACCCTTTCCTGCCAGTGAGGAAATGCCCTGTAATGCGGGAGCTTGCATTGGGAGAAAATCTTCCATGGGTGCCAAGTGGGGGATTTCCTGACAGTGCAACCAGTTGATTCCAAGGAGAGATTCTCCTCACTCAACCATAGCTTACAGGGTGAAATGCAACTTTCTTTTTCTTTCTAAAATTAAGCTCCACGTCCGTGTCTGCACTTTTTTCCCAGGGCGTTACTCTGGCTGCTTTACATAATCCAAATATGAAAATACTATAGTTCTTCAAGAAGGTATTAACCCTTTTTGATGGAATTGTGGGTACTTACAGTAACAACCAATTGTTACAATTAAAATTACCACCATTGCTACACTTACTAATTTCAGAGTATGCCACACACAAAACAGCATTTTAGTTTCTGCTGCCATGCATATTTCAAGTATTCAGAATGAGAAAAGACAACTGTGTAGTTTTGGTGTAATAAATGTGCATAACTTTAAAAGGATTATTTATATATATTCAGACTAAGCATGTAATTCATGTAGCTAGCTTTTATATTTCTTCACATGTTCATACATTCTTCACGCCCTATAATTTGGTAATATCATACCTATTCATTATCACATTGAGGTACATTATCAAAAGTATTTAAAATTCAAATCAAAAGAAACATTCAGCACTGTGTTAAAATACCACCCATTCATGTGGAGGAGGGCAATTATAATTTACCCCATTGAAGTGACCTAGTCAGTGGGCTGCATTGTGTGAATTGACGCCTTTTCTCAGTTTGTGCTATACTTACATTATGTGGGTGGGTGGGTGGTTAGCAGCTGGTAGCGTATTGTGTGATGCACCCAGTTCCAAATCTCTCTGCAATTACAAGTAAGTAGCAAATTGTATAAAACCATTTGAGAGAAAAATTAATCTGCAATCCTTTGCTTGAGGATTTCACTAATTTTGTCCCTGATATTCTACGAGTGATAGGAAACTATGGCCAAAGGGAAGCATAATGGATACTCCATTGTTTTAATACTTCTGTCTCAGTGTGAGCTTTGCATAGAGCTGGAATTATTTAGAAAATTCTGGCAAGCATATTACATCTGGTATGCAATGTAATACTGGGGGTGGGAGGAAGCTTCCATTAAGGATGGAAAGACAGGATTCCTATGCAGTGCCTTTTGATTGACAGCAAAAGGAGTCCTCCATTTGGAATCACTGCACAATTCTTCAGGGTTAGGGTAAATGTTCAAAGAATTTGAGCTGGTATTGTGCAGGGAATAAGAGTGTGCGTGTAGGGAAACTTGAAGTCTTGATGCAAACCTTACACTCACAAAATCACTGGATGGCCTTGTGTGAGCCACAACTGTATCTGAAATTTTCAAACGATAATACTGGTAATTTAGGCTGTAATCTTCCAGGAAAGATCACAGGAACGGAAAATGGCCTGAACCCCCCAGCCTGCCCCAGCCAGCACAGCTACATGAAAAGCGTTTCCATACTATATGGCTATGAGATGCTATTCTTATTTTTTTATTAAGATTTTTGACTAAAACTACACATATCAGTCATCACACACATCAGATTTACTGGGTCAGCCCTCTACAACATGTCTTTTAACGTTCTATGATCATACTATAATCCTTTTATAAAAACATGAAAACATCTTTAGATCAAAACCAAGTCCCGTTTCTCCAGCCAAGAGATGCTATTCTTAAGGTAATTGTACACGATATTCATATACAATAAGACTCATTTGGAAACTCTGTGTTCTTTTTATTGTGCTAATTGTAGTTCATTGATTATTATATATTTAATTGATAAAATGCGAAGAGACAAGCATGTCATACATATGTTTCAGGACTCATAAAATGCAGTCTTATCCATATTTTCTCAGAAGTAAGTATGGAACGTCCTCCTAGGTAAATGTTAAGTATAAGACTTCAGCAGAAGTGCCCAAGATGGTATTAAGCAGTGAGTAGAGGACCAAGTTTTAAGTCACCATTAAGTAATGGTTATGAACAAGGGCAGATTTTCCCAAGTTGGAGCCCAACGCATCTGGAGGAGACCAACTTCCATCACCGCCATGCTGGCCAAGCAGGAGGAGAATTGATGCCCAACACATCTGGAAGGCGCTAGGCTCACAAAGGCTAATATAGAGCC